ACATTCACAATTTATGTTTCTTTGTGATGAATAGATATTGGGGGAAAAACACCTTTTTAGGAAAATTATAGTGCAAATTTGACAGTTGATTGGCATAATTTCTTGTTTGAATGCTGCCTCCATTATATAGGTCCTTCCAGGAACTCAAACACTGTAAGTGAAATATGGGAGTATAGTTTTTATTACTTCTTTTACTTGTGTTTTCATAATATAATGCAGTTTGTTCAGGAAATCAGCACAAAGCCTGATAGTACTTTACTAAAATGACTGCATTCTTTGGATTCCCTCAGTCTGTGGTTCAAGTCACTACAGATTCATTTTGTTGAGTCCTTATGAGAAACAACAGTATGAATCTTGACGGTTTCTGCCCATCCTAACGGCAGAGTTCTCTGACTTGAGCGTATGCCACCAGGCTGGGTACTTTCATACTTTGTTTTCTTCTTTTGCTTTAAAAGTACGACTCAGCATACATTTTCCCGCACACATTTTTACATTGTACCTTAGGACTTAATCATCTCCACTTAAATTGATGACACAAGCAGCTAATAACCATTTTTGGGTTTCTGTCTAACCTTCTAATTGTCTGTTAAAGCCAATTCTCTGGGTGTCCCAGTGAGTGGTGGCTCTTTTTCTTTCCACACTGGCACATTCACTTCCCCCACTCTTGGCATGTAGGAAATAAACATTTACGTAATTGGAAAAATCCAGATTTCTGATGCCAAAGGGTTAAAGCCTCTTGGGTTTCATTGCAGTGATATACAGCCACTATTTTATTTTTGATCAGTGGCCTTTGGGCCACTGTTTAGGGCACTGAACATCAGTGTCAGCATTAGGGTTTGGGTTTTTGTTTTTCTTGGGTCTTTCTTTTTTGGCACATGTGAATCTTGTTTTGTGTAAAATGAAATGACTTTCTCTTGTTCTCTGATGATGGGTTTAAAATTAAAAGAGCATCTGGTTTCGGTATGGGGATGATCCAGGATTATGTTGTGACTGATATATATTAGTTACTTGTACATTTTTTTTTTTTTGATCTTTGCAAGGGGAAGACTACAAGTAACGAGTTTTATATAATTAATTTAAATTTGTTACAGGTTTTCATGTTCAGGATAAGCAATTTTTCCACCTTGGGTGAGAACACGTGCAACAGTTTATTAATGAGGTGACTTTCACCTTAGGACAACTGTTGCATACCAGTTTTTTTTGTGTGTGTGAAACACTTCAAAATTGACTTAAAATATGTAAATTTAAAATTGGTTGTATCTAATATGCCCCAGGTTCAGTAAATAAACAATTCTTTTTAAAAACAGTCAGTATTCTGTGTTTTATATATTGACAGTTAATTCAGATTTTTTACACACCAACTTTCTGTTCTTATTTGACATGAGACATGTCCATGTTTTCTGAGTATTTATGCCTATTATGTCTGTTACTTTTTAATTCTATAAGCTTGAGGATAGTGAACGGTACCAAGTTTTCGTTTCTGCACAGGTTTTCCAGTGAGGCTTCTCTGATGGATCAGTGCTAAAATCTCAAGTATTTTTCTATTTGGGAAAAAAGAAAGGGTTGAATTATTTTCACTCGCCCACGTGGTTTATGAACGTGGGAAATAGCTTTAAAGACAGATTAAATGATGTGCCCAAGGCCACAGGTAAGAGAGTGAAAGACGGAACCAGAGACTAGATCACCACCTGTAGAAACTCCTTCCTCTGCGAAACTAATGGCCTGCTGGTAATAAAAGTAGCTACGATTTATTGAGTACTGTGTAATGTCTTGATCCAGTACTAAGCACTTTACTTGGTCTGTCTTATTCATGCTTCAAAACTGCCATTACCTTGGGTAAAATCATTTTGGAAGTGAGGAGGAAAACAGGCTTGGAATGGGTCCTAAGGTCAGAAAACTAGTAGGTAGTAGAGCACAGAAGACACACACAGATAGGCAATTTCTCTGCCTTTGCTGAAAGTGCCTTTGCTTTCAGAACTGTCTGTGAAATGCCCCCCTTTTCTTTTTTTGGAGACAGGATCTCACTCTATTCCCAGGTTGAAGTGCGTTGGCTTGATCTCTGCTCACTGACCTCAACCCCCCGGGCTCAAGTGATCCTACCACCTCAGCTCTCCAAGTAGCTGGGACTACATCTTTTGTTTTTTAAAAGCAGGGTCTTGCTCTGTTACCTGGACTGGAGTGCAGTGGCACAAACATGGCTCACTGCAGCCTTAACCTCTCAGGTGATCCTCTCATCTGAGTCTCCCGAGTAGTTGGGACCACAGGCATGCACCACCATGCCTAGCTAATTAAAAAATTACTTTCATAGAGACAGAGTCTCCTGTACCTTGCCCAGGCTGGCCTCATTCTCCTGGGCTCAAGTGATCCTCCTGCCTCAGCCTCCCAAAGTGTTGTGATTGCAGACATGAGCCACCGTGCCTGGCCGAAGTCCCATTTTATAAAAGTTGTCGAAGAGTTTTGAGAATGTGATGATCATTTCATTGAAAATGTGGCTTTAGGCTGTTGTCTTTTACTTAATTTGAGATGACTGCAGTCTGCATGAGTTGTATTCCCATTTATTGATCCCACAAATATTTGAGTGATTGCTGTGTGCTACAGTGATAGTCCCTGGGATAAAGAAGATAGAGAAAAGACCCCATTAGTGTAGGTTTTACATTTTGGTGGCAGAGATGAACCTAGTAAGTTGTGTGTGTGTGTGTAGCAAGAAAGATAATGGCAAATGCTAAGAAGGGAAAATAAATGAGGGTAGGAGTTTCAGTGATGTGGAAAGGAAGGTAACACTGAGAAGGTGATTTCAAAAGTCCAAGTGGAATGTAAGGGAGTGTAAGGGAAAACTTACCCTTTGTCCTCAGGTATCTCTAAAAATTCAACTGAAAAAAGGCAGATTAATAGGAGGAAAGTGATGCAAATTTATTTGGTCATGGTTTTGCACAACAAAGGAACCTTCAGAATTAAGACCCAAAGTTACAGGGAAAAATATTCATTTTTATGCTTAGGCTCAACAAAATATGCACAGCTGAGTAGAAATAGGACTGGACAAGAAGGGCATGATCTAATGCTCACAGACTGAGTGGGGAAGCCCAGCAAGGCCTGTCTGGATTCTTTTCGGCCTCTCTGTGCAGCATTCCTTCCTTCTGGGTAGGGGACAGAACCCTTCCTGTAATGGGGTCTTACAACCTACAAGCAAAACAAAAGAGGTCAGAAATTTTTTTTTTTTTTTTTTTTTTTATAGTCTCTCGCTGTCGCTGTCGCCCCGGCTGGAGTGCAGTGGCGCCATCTTGGCTCACTGCAGCCTCCGCCTCCTGGGTTCAAGCAATTCTCCTGCCTCAGCCTCCCAAGTAACTGGGACTACAGGTGCACGCCGCCAAATCCGGCTAATTTTTTTGGTATTTTTAGTAGAGACGGGGTTTCACCGTGTTGCCGAGGCTGGTCTCGAACTCGAGCTCAGGCAATCCGCCCACCTCGGCCTCTGAAAGTGTTAGGATTACAGGCGTGAGCCACTGCGTCTGGCCTTTTTTTTTTTT